AGACCCAAAAGCAGAAGACCAGGGAGGAGCAGCAACAGGAGGCAGAGGAGGGAGGAGCGGGGAAGGGATCATGTTCTTTGGGTGGAGGGCTCAGGGTGGAATCCATATGGGCGTCTGCACCTCAGAAATCAATCCGTCTTGTGATTCACCTTTTGCAGATTCAAGCCTCGAACATCCATCGAAACGGCATTTCAGATTTCACCGTGCCCTCCACCCAAAGAACACGCTCGGGGAGGAGCGAGGAGGGGAGGGAGCACTTTCTTTGGGTGGAGGGCACAGGGTGAGATCCGAAATGCCGTCCCGACTAGTTCTCGAGGCTCGAATCTGAACAAAAGGGTGGATCGTGAGGCGGATCGAGCTTCGAGGTGCAAAAGCCATGTGGGTTTCACCCTGAGCCCTCCATCCGGAGAAGATGCCCAGGAGGGAGGGGAGGGAGGGAGCGCGAACGCGGGACAGCGGCCGACAGGGGCGGCCCTGTTCGTTGGGGGCTTGGCGCGCTATAGCAGAAGATCACCACTCTGAACCTGTCATCGCACTAGGAGACACTTTTTTTTTTGGGTCGGCGGGTCGAGAGCGGGCCTCTTCCGGTTAAGAGCTAGGCGGGGCGCGCGAAGCACTAATTGGGGAGACAGGGCGCGGGCGGGCGGGGCCTCAGGCGGCCGGAGGGTGCGGAGAACACCGCACTAGGAAGCGCCAACTCGCCAGGAGACTCGGAAACGCGGCACGAGCCAAGCGTCCGTAGGCAAGCTCATGCACTGACTGTCGGCCTAGGAGATAAGTCAAGCCTGGAGAGGAAATATTAGGACGAGGAGACAAGAACTCTCATACACACCAGGCGTCGTGGAGGAGCCTGCAGTGGGCGAGCTTCTGTGTGGCCACTTGGCATCAACACATGGTCTCATTTTGAATGATGCCCTGCCGATGCAGTAGCACCAGACAAAAAACAACATCAAGACTAGTGAACGCTGCCGTGAGCCAAACACCAGGCGGCAGAAGAGGAGGCGGGCTGTTCAGAGGGAGAGAGAGAGAGAGAGAGAGAGATAGAGAAAGAGAGAAAGGAAAGGCAGCAAGTGTGAGGGGGTTCGATGGGGTCTTGCAGTGCTCCTGGGCGAGCGACGGGAAAGGAGATTGGGGGCCGTCTCGCGTGTATCCCCCCTCCGTTCCCTGGTCATGCTTTGCCAGAAAGGTGCTGCTGCATCTTGAGGGAAACAACAAGCGGCAACAACTGTGAGTCACGACGGTATTCAGTGGGGATGCGCCTCGCCGTTAGTCAAGGACGCGCTCAACATCGTGTATCGAGCACCACCCCTGACAAGAAATCCATACAACGCAATGCGGATACAATGCACATCGATACACATCGAAGTAACGCGACCGAGTGCGCGGCAAAGCAAAGCGAAGTAACGCTGTCGAAAGCAGCGCCATGCAATGCGAAGCAAACACTGCCATGCACATCACAGCAGCAACGAATGCTACACTGAACAGGACGACGCCAAGCAATGCAACGCGCAATGCACATGGAAGTCAAGCGTATGTAAGCACCTCGCAACACAACGAACACAGCACCACAAAGCAACACAAGGTGCCACGCACAGCCCAACATACCATGCGGCATATTCCCCCTCTTGCACCCGATTCGGATGCGCGTGCTCTGAACTTCAAATGCGCTGTGGTCTGACGCGTCTGCCGTATTCACCTTGCCTCGAATGGACACGCCGATGTTGGGCGTACTTCTTCACGCCGCCCCCCCCACCCCCGCCACGAGGAGGAGGGCGAGGATGAGGAGGGGGACGGGGAGGGGGAGGAGTGGGTGGAGGAGGGGGAGGAGTGGGTGGAGGAGGGGGAGGAGGGAGGAGGAGAAGGAGAAGAGGAGGAGGAGGAGGAGGAGGAGGATGGAGGAGGAGGAGGGGGAGGAGTGTGAGGAGAAGGGGAAGGAGAGGGAGGAGGAATGGAAGGAGGAAGAGGAGGTGGAGGAGGGCGGGGGGAGGGGGGGAGGAGTCGGGGGGGGGGGGGGGGGGGGAGGAGTGGGGGGGGGGGAGGAGGCGGAGGGGCAGGAGGGGCAGGAGGAGGAGGAGGAGGAGGAGGAGGAGGAGGAGGAGGAGGGGCAGGGCTGAGGCTGCGAGCGCTCGCTCACAACGCGTGCCCGAGACATGTCCGCGTCCGCGCCCTCGCGGGCCGGGCCCCTGGGCCGCGACCCCGCGGGGCGCATCCGTGCGACCGCGCTCGTGAGGCCCGCCCGTCTCTGACTACCTACCAGACCACCCCAACCCAACCCGAAGACCCGAATTTCGGGTTGGGGGGGTAAGGGTTCCATATGTGTTTTCTCGAGGTTCCCCGACCCCCCCCCAACTGGAAATGGAGGTCAAATCGAGACCTTCGGGTTGGGTTGGGGTGGTTTGGTGGGTGGTGAACAGCGGCCCGCCCGCGACCCGCAGGCGAGCCCGGAGGGGAAAGGCGAGGACGGGGGCGGGCCTCCTCGGAAGGCGCCTATGGGGCTCCTCGCGAGCCCGCCCGCCTTCCGAGAGGAGCCGCCTCGCGAACTTGGGCCAGCACCTGGCCTCGATGCGTCTCTCGAGCCCCCCAAGAATGGAAGCTGCTTCTCGCTTCTCGGCGCTGCACAAACCTCCCTGTAATAAACCTGCCCGTCGTGAAAACGGCCCAGGACCGAAACCGACGAACCTGGACCCGCAATAATGACAGCCGCGACGCCCTCTCGCGAACCGAAAACGGCCAATTCCTTCATCGACGTGTCAGGGTAGGAGGTCTGTCCACCCCCGAGTTTCGACGCCCTGATTGACGGACGTGGGCCCCACCAGCAGTGGAACATGATTAATTTCCCCGCGGCACCCGCCGCGCATCTGGACGCAATACGTGCGCAAGGAGTAAATCCAGAAGAGACAGCGCACGACATCTCTGCACGCGAACCTGGCGAATCCGGAAGAAGTCGAGAGCCTCGTGTGTCCAAAGCCTGGCAGCGACTTCTTACGCCATGCTCTGGGCGACCCGCGAGCAGTTGTGTAGTTGCCCTCCGAGCACTCTGCGAGGCCCCGTTCCCGCCCCCCCACCCAAGCTCGCCGCCGAACGCCGCGCTGCCTGCGCCCGAGGCCCCCCGCCGGCGCGCCCGGGGGGCGGCCCTGCGGCCCGCGAGCAGACCGCGTCCCCCTGCGGCGGTCGTCGGGAGACCGGCGCGCACGGCGGGGGTGGGCCACCCGAGCGGCGATGCAACACTGACTACCTACCAAAACCACCCCAACCCGACCCGAAGGCCCGCATTCCGGGTTTGGGGGGGGGGGGGGGGGCAAGGGTTCCGCGCGTGTTTTTGTCGATGTTTCCCGACCCCGCCCCCCCCTCTGGAAATCGAGGGTACATCTGAGCCTTCGGGTTGGGTTGGGGTGGTTTGGTGGGTGGTGAAAAGCCGGGCCTCGTGCGAGACGGCATGCAGCGGCCTGGCGCGGCGGTGCACGCGGGCCGCCCGCGCGGCACCTCCGCAGTGGAGACAAAGGGCGCGCGCGCGCGCAGGCTCGCGCGGGCAGCTTGCGCGCGCGGACGTCGGCGCCAACGGCCCCCCTCGCTTTGGCGTCGCTCCTCTGCCTTTCCTTGCGGCCCCGCTGCACCTGAACGCACCCCGCCCGCCGCCCGCCCTGCGACCCACACGAGGCCCGCCCTTGGATAGTGTTGAAAGCGCTGGGGTGTGTGTTTCTCGATTTCAAGATCGGCGTGCTTTTTCGTCTGAGGGTCGGCGCCTTCCTGTTTGGAGGATTCTCGCTTGCGCGATCTCGGTTCAGTTCCGTTTTGTACCGCCGCTTGTTTGTATGTGTTAGACTGCCGTTATGTATCCCTCGCTTTGATTGGCCGAGAACCGAAAAGCTGAAAATGAGTAATCACCAAAACACGTCCCCAGCGTTTTGCGGCCCGCCTGCGATCAACCCGCGAAGAATACGGTGAATGGCCCTGAGAAGGCTCGTTCCCTCTCCTATGCTGGAACTCCAGCATGACCGCGGCCCTCGCGCAAATTTCT